TCTGCATCCCTGGCAGAGGCAGCCGCAGGGGCTTGCTGCAGCCAGCTCGCATCCCTAGGGAACAGTCCCATCCCGCTCCGGCAATTTTCCTACCCGTGATTTACGGTGGGGATTTTTTTCTTTTTTTGTGTAGCCCCTTCTCACGGCACTGGCAGCTCATTCCCTGGATCCACAGGTCTCCATCCCACCAGGGTCTTATCCCAGCCTCCTACATCCATCTATCCCAGGATGTAGAAGGCTGGGATAGGGATAGAGGATGCCTAGGGTGCCCTGGGGGTGTGGGGGTTCATCTGTGATGGAAGGAGAAATTCCAGAGGATGCAGCTGCTAAATGCCACAGCCTCACCCTGTGCATGGAGCAGGGTGCACAAAGGTGCTGGCAGCACAGTGCTACAATCCCCTCAGTCTTGATTACAGCTTATCAGTGTACTAAACACCAAGATCTCAGGGTTCTTCAGAGCCCCAACTTGGCCCCACGAACGCCACAAACGGCAGAGAGCAACCTCCACTTCCCCTTCCGCCCATAAGTGATCTCTGCCACCCCTTTCCCTCTCTTTTGGGGATGGAGAAGGTGTGTTTAACCCTGAAAAACCCCATGGTGGCCACGGTCACACTCCTGAGTGTCCAACAGTGCCACTGCCCATAGGGTTGGTTTCCCACCTCTGCCCACCCACTGTCCCACATCTCTGCCCTCCTGCAGTGCCCATCCCCATCCTCACTAAACCAACCCTCTGGCACTCATATCACCAGGATATACTCACAGCAAATACTCATTTTTAGAAACATCTAGCCCTCTTGACATGGTTTCTTCAGCCTGGGCTTGCCATTTGGCCTGGCCACCCCTTGCAGGGTTTACCCCCCGAGCTTACCTCCGCCCGTGCCCGCTGCTGCCTGCTCAGGAAGTCACCACTCGTCCCTCAGGAAGTCACCAGCTTACGTGCCCCAAAGTCACCCAGCAACACACACCCCACAGCTGGCAGCATTGCCCTGTGCCACCCCATCCCCACGTCACTGCCACCCACACCTTGCCCATGGCTCGCTGGCCGCAGAGCTGCCAAAATCAGGTCTGGATTAACAACACTCACCCATCCTTGGGGAACAGAGCTTTAAAAGGAAAAGGGAGATTTGAGTGGGGTTTGTTCTCTTTTTTTGGATCCTGCTGCTTCTTTCAGCACGACACACCTTCTTTCCCTCTCTCTTTTTTTTTTTTTTATTTTTTTCCATGCAGCGCCTCTATTTTTGACTTAATCAGAAGGGAATGCTGTTAATTCGCACAAGTTGGGTGTATAAATATATATATATCTCTACAGCTGAAACTGCCAAGGGGGGAATAAAAAAACCTGTGGATGACGCAGACTGGGACCAACGACCCTTGTAGGGGTTGGAGGGGATGATGGTAACGGTGCTGCCAAGCCCAGGCTGGGGTTTATCTGATGAGCTGCCAAGGGCAGGGTGGGGAGTGAAGAGGCTCAGCTGTTCTCTCCTTGGTAAGTGGATACCCCAGCCCAGGCCCCGGCACAGGGATGTTTTGTGGATATAACCAGGCAACAGGCAGCTCCGGTGTCAGCAGCAGGACCCTGATGATGGCCATGGCACACACCAGGGCTGGGCAGCACGGGGAGACTCTGGCAGCACAGCACAGCGTGGACTTTGCTCTGGTAAACAGAGCTGGCAGGGAGGTAGCAGCACTGCCAGAGGGGAAGTGGAAGGCAGGAGAGAGTTTGGGAGCCGGAGTGTTCCGGCTGTCGGGATAAAACAGTCGCTGCACTGCCAACACGGTGTCCCTGGCACTGACCTGGTGAGCAGCTGATTGGGGTTGTGGGGAGCAAAGAGCAGCTGTGAGGAACTTCACCCCCCTGCGCTGCCCTGCAGCTGTGTCTCCTTTCCTGGTGGATGTTTTTCCTTCCTGTCATGCATGGCAGAGCAGCCCCAAGGGCAGGGACAGAGCTGGCACTGCGGTGTTGCCACCCTGGCACTGCCACCCTGGCACTGCCACGGTAGCTCATTCTGTCTCCAGGCTGTCCCCACACAGTCTTTGGGACAGGTTGGAGGTACCAGGGATATTGCCCAGCTTTAAGGAGACCCTGGCAGAGCTGACAGCCCCATGGGGTGTCCTACCTGTCCGAATTGCAGAGCACATGGGATTAGGCAGTGACGATCCCAAGCTGCTCGCAGCTCTCTCTAGCTGTGTTTGCCCAAGGTGCTGGGGTCTGGCTGTGCCAGGGTGAGTGGTGCCAGATCCGGCCCCTGGAGGGCAGGAGCTGCAATCTGATCTCAGGGGGAAAGTGTGATTCATCCCTCGAGCTGGCAGCACTTCCAGGGATGGATCCTGGCTTGGAGGGCAGCGGCACCATGTGCCCACTCCTACCCTGCCCTTGCACAGTGACCCCTTCACTCCAGCTGGGTGGGGGGGTCCCTGGGTGATGCTGTAGTGGCTGTGACTGTGTTGGGTGGCACCCAGGCTTGGTGGGTTGGATGCCACTGGATCCTTGGGAACAACCTGGCTCACTTCACCTCCTGCCTCAGTTTCCCCAGCTGAGAGCTGGAGGTGTTCCCCCTCCCTTGGAACTGGCACTGTGGAAGCTGGCACAGGGTTAGCTGAATCCCAGGAGCACCACAGAGATGTCTGACCTACTTCAAAATTCCTGATGCACCAGCTCA